GACAAACCATGTTTACTTAGCCTGACCCCTGTTGATGGGCACATGGGTGGTTTCTACTTGTGCTCTTACATCAGTAGGAAAAATCCCAGAGGAGGGATTGCTGGGTCAGAGGTTATCTGTAACTTTGAAAGTGTCCAATTGCTAAATAGGAATGACATCACTAACCCTCCCACAACAACATAGTAGCAGTATACCTAACTTCCAGTATCCATCCATCTTTGTACCCCAAAAGTTTCTAGATACATTGTAGCCCAGGCAGGGTAAACTTTCAACCCTCCTGTGGTAGTCTGGGTAGCAGAGATTACAGGCTGGTGCCACCAGATCTGACCCAGTGCCTCTACTCTAAATGATCACTTGGAATGGTTAGATCGGTGTGCAGCGGGTTGAGACGAGGGCTGATAGGCTCCATGAGCACTGTGCTGTCCAGCTCCAGGTAGCATTTACTAAGCTCCATAACTTTAAGAGCCTGAGGAGTCCCTCAGGCTGGTCTGGCTTTCCTTCAAAGGACAATATCAATCTTCAGTGAGTGTTCACAGCAAGACGTTAGAGATAAATTTAGCCATGCTCTGCCTTCTCTGAGCTTTCCTGATGGTGCGATGGGATAGATTACAATGGAGAAGGTTCCTGGGATCATTTGACCAAACTCTAAGAGGCACCATGAAATGAAGTTCAGTAGTAAGAGGGTAGTGAGAGGCTTGTAAATCCTCTCTCTCTCTCTCTGTTTTTTGTTTGTTGTTTTTGTTTTTTGTAGCCTTGGCTGTCCTAGACTCAATTTGTAGACCAGGCTGGCCTTGAACTCATAGATCCATCTGCCTCTGCCTCCCTAAATGCTGGGATTACAGGTGTGCACCACTGTGCCTGGCTTGTCCTTTTCTTTTTTTGTGATTTTTCCTAGGGTTTTTTTTTTTCTAATTATAATTTACTTGTCCAAGCATTTCTATGTCGAGATTTATTAACTAGTACATTTTTTTTCTCATATGAAATAAACCAAACCATGTTAGGACTTTTGCCTTATGGTATATCCACATGCTGCCAGGACTCACTGAGACAGAGGGTCCTGAAGCGTCCATGGCTGAACGCCCAGAGCTCAAACAGCTCACTTTGCAGGGATGGCCTTACAAGTTGGTGCCTTGGCTCTGTGGTTACCTGCGTGGCCTTTACAATGATGTAGCGCTCTGGAGGCAGGTTTCAGGTGGTGAGGACCTGGAGTTGCCTGGTATCCTTGGCCATGAGGAGGTTGGTCACACAGGTCTTTCTGGACTTGCCCCCCAACCCTGGGAAATGGGGCTTCACAGTGCCCTACTCAATCTGCCTGTAAAAGGTGTTCTCTGGGGAGGAAATTCTGAACAAGTTAGAATCATGTTTGGGTTTCTGCTCAACTCAGAAGTCTCAGGGCATGGGGCCTGCAAGATGGCTCAGCAGGTAAAGGTATTCACTCCCAAGCCTGAGCTGACTCCTGCAAGTTGTCCTTTGACCTCCACATACTCTTAAGTGTAAGTGTAAAAAAAAAATTTTTTTTTTTGAAGACAGGTTCTTACTACTTAGCCCTGACTGGCCTTGGAACTTACTTATGTAGACCAGGCTGGCCTTAAATTAGAAATTTTTTTCTCCTCCCTTGGCAGCTTGAATACTGGGATTAAAGACATGTTGGGCAACATTAAATAATTAGTTAGTTAGCTAATTAATTAATGAACCAGAACAACATCAAGTGCTCCTAACTTCTCTTAATCTTTTTGGAGTCTGGACCCTCTCTTAGAAGTAAAAGCCCACAGAGGAGAGCTTTGCAGCCAGTCCTGAAGATACCTGATAAAACAGGATCAGATGAATGGGGAGGAGGTCCTCCCTATCAGTGGACTTGGCAAGGTGCACGGTGGAGATGAGGGAGGGAGGGACTGGGAGGGAATGAGGGATCGGGACATGGCTGGGATACAGAGTTAATAAAATGTAACTGATAAGAAAAAAATAAAATTCAAAAAAAAAAAAAAAGAAGAAGTAAAAGCCATTGGTTCTCTTCCCTAGTTTGGGGGGAGGGGCACCTGAGTATTGTTAATGTATTACAGAAATTTACATTAAAAGTTGTATATAATTTAAATGTAATTTTGGAGCCCAGGAAGCCCATCTACAAGCCCCCTTAAGTAATAGTTCTCTTTTATCTTTGATAGGATTGTTATTATTTAGCCTCCATGCTGCACATACCACATTTTCATCTCTGCAGTGGGAACTGAGTAGGATATTATGGTTTTGGCAGTCACTGATGAGAGAGGGTATGGAACTAGGCCAAGAACACCTGGCCTCACAGGTCCCTGAAGACTACCAGGGTGAGAGGGATTCCTGCTTCCCCAGACACAACTTGGCGCTTTGCCTGAATTTCCCAGAAGGACTTCAGAAGCCATGGTGTGAACCCGGTGATGGGTGTGATGTCTGGGCTTCCCCCAGACATCCCTCCCTGTGATAATTGCTGAGCTCTGCCTCTGCTGGCTCTCAGGAGAACCGTTCCTGTGCTGAGAGGCTGCTGGCAGGGCAGGTGAGGCCGAATGGAGTGGCTGCTCCCCAGATGGCAGCGGCTGATGTATTTGCACTGTGGGGGGAGGTGGGAAGGCTAATGATTCATGATCACTGCAGTGACTCACATCACTGAGGCACATGACTCCCCGCAGGACTGGTGCCACCTACTGCCACTCTGGCTTTGTTCAGTGTGGTGTCTTTCCCTTCTACACAATGAGGATTCAACATCAGGAAATGGTGCCTACCTCCCACAAACACAGATCTGCTGCTACAGCAGCCCCACATTGAAAGAATGAGGCTGGAGAGTCACTGACCTGGACACTCCAGGGCCGTACTAGACCCTCAGAGAGCAGGACTAGCCATGAGAGGGAGCACATGAACATTTAAACCAAAGATTTCCTGTATGTTTGACACACATCTTCATATACATAGGTACAGATGTATGACCATCTTGGGAAGGAAAAGCTGTGCCTTCTAAAACAGAGTCCTTCAAGGCTGGAGCAAGGCTGTCTCCTTCCACTGGGGTATTGTCACTGAGCTAGCAGTAGACCTCAGGGCCCCCTCCCTTCTCGACTCCAGTCCAAGACAAACAAAAATCCTTTATAGGAAAGCAGCAGCTGCCTGTTAACTGCTCAAATGAAGATAGAAAAACAGGTGAAAAAAATCTAACTGCAAAGTAATTATTGGCTATTCATGTTGATGCATGTCTGTAACCCCACCACTTGAACTGTGAAGCCAGGAAGCTCTCAAGAGTGCAAAGCCACACAGATAGGTGGCAAATTTGAAAAGTCTGGGCTACATGAGACTTCACCTTTAAAATAAATTAGTAGTTACTTCCTGAGTCCAAGTTTCATACCATGACTGTGCTGATCAAAGCTCTTTGGGGGCTGGATGGAGGGTTTAAGCAGTTAGGAGGACTTGATGTGCAAATCATGAGACCCAGAGTTTGGATCACAGCCCCTGTGTAACAAGGCACACATTTTGAATGTGCCTGTACCCAAACTTGAGGACAGTGGAGTCAGGAGAACAGCTTTCAGCCTAGTCTAGAAAATAAGAGCCTTGAGTTCAAGGAGAGGCCCTATCTCAAAGGAATAGGTGAAGAGTGATACAGGAGGACACCCCTCATCCTTTTCTGGCCTTAACACAGTATACATGCTCAAACTAAGTAACTCTTAAAAAAAAAAAAAAGAAGAAGAAGAACTTGTCAGGGCCTTAGTCCTCCCATACCAAAGACAAAAACAAAACCCATCTCTTTCACCCACCTGTGGAGCAGCCATGATCCTCTGATGCACACAGGCCCTGCCACACCGGCTCATACCGACTGGCTGGCTATCAGTCTTTGAACAGGGAGGGTAAGGAGTCAGGAATAGACATGGGCCTTGTGCCACCCCAGAGGCAGGCGGAACTCTGAGTTTGAAAGGCCAGGCCAGGACACACAGGGCTTGATACACAGAGAAACCCTGTCTTGAAAAGCCGAAAACAAAACAAAAAATTAAAAAAAAAAAAGGAAAACAGAGTCAGAGCCGGGGTGAGGAAGGGTTTGACATGCCATCTAATGACCCCAGTGCATAGGCAACACAGCACTTCCAGGTTTCCCAGAAGCGTGGTCACTGCAGAGTCTTAGTCCGTGGCTGCGTGTCTCCTTGCCCCTGCTTCATCTGGCCTCAGTCATGGCCAGGCTCTTGGGGACACGTGCGCCCAGTGTTCTCAGGACCTGCGCATGCCATGGCCAGCTCTTGCTCTTCCCTGCCAGGCCTTCTCCTTCCTGGGGGAAGCAGGGTCCAGAGGGAGAGATGAAGTGCGGCCCCTGAAAACATGAATGAATTGAGGGAAGCCCTCCCAGGACAGCAGGGAGAAATCTCTCTCTCAGCTGCTGTGCTCATAAGTAATCCAGAGGCTGTCGGGGCTGACCTCTGCAAAGGCTTCATCAGTATTTCAGGCTCCTCGGAGCGTTGTTCCTTAGCAGCTGTGTCGCCGTGTTCTCTAGAAGAGCTTCTGGGCCACGTGCTTCCTGCACCTGCTTCCTGTACGTGCAGGTGGAGACATTCATGAACCTCACAGCCCGCCAAGGTGACACTGCGTACAGAAAGCATGCGTGTGCTAGACAAGGGAGAGCAGCTTGGCCCCTGACAACTCCCACAAGTCCGCCATGGGCTTTGGGGCAGAAGGACAGTGTATATTTCTCTGGGCTACCCCTAGTTCCAAGCACAATTCAGGCTTGCCCTGGCCCCTTCCTCTCTACAGGCATACTATGGTTTCAAGGTAAGAGGGATTTCCCCTTCCTCAGATGGGTTAGCACCTTACCTGAGTTTACCAGAAGGAATTCAGAAGCCACAGTGTGAACGGGGAGCCTCGCATGAAGTTTGGCTCTCGGCATTCCTTCCTGCTGCATACGCTAAGTTCATCATATGTGGAGAGGCTGCTTGGAGGACGGGTAAAGCTAAGTGGGGTGACCCCTAACCCAGGCTCAGATACTATTGTTCCCTGTGACCCAGGTGCTGTGGAGGCTTGCCTCCTGCATCAGCTAAGGCGCCGAGCCGCTGGCTTTCTGCGCAGTGACAAGATGGCAGCCCTATTCACCAAAGTGGGAAAGACATGCCCCGTGGCTGAAGATATTTGCCACAAGGTGCAGGAGCTGCAGCAACAAGCAGAGGGCAGGTAAGGCCTGAGCCAGCCCCTCCCAGCATTTTTTTCTGCTCTCTCCTTGGCATTTACTGCTTTGAAGATAGCCTGCCTCAAGGGTGGCTTCCTGCCCTGCCTTACATGCTTCTTGGCTGAGGGCCTGCCTGAGAGTGGGGTGGCCCTTTGCAGTATTCATATCCTGCCTCTCTGCTTCAGCTCCTTACTCAGCCCGGCGCTCTGCTATGCTACTGTTCTCACTTCAGTGCCGACAGACTGGGGCCTGGCTACTGAAGCCTCCCTTCCCTTCTCCTTGCAGGAAACCACCAGGAAGCAGCCAAGAAGCCCTTCGAAAACAGGGCTCCACCACTGGAAAGGCCCCACCTCTCAGCCCACAGGCCTTGAAACACATATGGGTGCGCACGGCACTCGTGGAGAAAGTTTTGGACAGGGTTGTACAGTACCTGGCTGAAAACTGCAGGTGACTGCCCACAGCCATTGGGCCTTTGCTTGGTCCACCTCAGCCTCATCCCTCTACACGCTTAATAGCCCACAGCACTCTGTAGGCATGCCTCCAGCCCTTTTTGGCACCCCAAGAATATAGGCCACATCAAGAACCCTACAGCACTTCCTCCTACGGACTTATTCTTTTGTGGTGGCTGACATGAGTCTGGTCTCTGGGCATGCTTCTCTTGAGTGAGCTTGACCACCCTGGCCTGAGTCCAGGAGCCCTGATAGTCTGTCTCTGTCTCCTCTTGGCAGCAAGTACTACGAGAAGGAGGCATTATTGGCAGACCCCGTGTTTGGCCCAATCCTGGCATGTCTCCTAGGTGAGCTTCAAAACTTAAAAGGCTGTATTGGGTCAGTAGAGTGAGCAGTGGGTGATGAAAGAGCCCCAGCTAAATTAACCATCCCTGTCTCCATAGTGGGACCCTGTGCCTTGGAATACACGAAGCTCAAGACAGCTGATCACTACTGGACTGATCCCTCTGCTGATGAGCTAGTCCAGAGGCACCGTATCCGGGGTCCCCCTAATCGTCAGGACTCCCCAGCAAAGCGCCCTGCCCTGGGGGTTAGTATCCTTCTCTGCACCTTTTGTGCAGAAAATAATCACTGCATAATCATTTATTCAGAATATATTTATGGGCCCCCAGGCAGTAGCCACCCAAGAGAACCTTCTGTCTGCACTAAGACTTGCCTAAATGCCAGTAGCCCTAGCCCGTGCCTAGTGTTGGTTAAGGGGCAAAGGGTGGCAGAGTCAGCTAGAGGGACCCAGCACAGGAGCCTGAAGGTTCTCAAGTCCTCAGGCCAGTTTCCCAGGACAGGGGCCTGAGCCCTGACCTTCCTGGCAGATCCGGAAGCGCCACTCCAGTGGCGGTGCTTCGGAAGACCGGCTAGCTGCCTGTGCCCGTGAGTACGTGGAATCACTGCACCAGAACTCGAGAACACGGCTGCTCTATGGCAAGAACAACGTGCTGGTGCAGCCGGTAAGAACGCTCTGTGCTGCAAATCTCCCCTCGCTGCCCTCTCTAGAAGATACCAGAACCAGAAGCCGTCAGCCAGTTTCTTTGCTCCAGAGCTTGACCAGAGAGAAGGAATACCACCTTACCCCATACCTCATTGTCACATGACTCATGCCAGTTGGCAGTAGACAGACATGACATCTGCCCTGGCTTGCTAGAGGAAATCCAGGCTGTCCAGGGCTAGGATGGCAGCCAGCTGGCAGAGTGAATGCCCAACATGGGTGTGGTTGGCCACTGGTGCACCTGGCGCCCAGGCTGACAGGACAGAGCCAATGGCACTGAGCTAATTAGAAAGAGACCAGATCTAGCTTCTGTTTCTCTTTGCCCTAGCCAGCCTCCAGCCCCAGGACTCCATTGCTGGCCTGGCATATTCCCTCTTGGGCTCATTCTCATGGGCCATCCTATGAGTCTCTTGGGCCCATATTATCTGTCTTCTGGTGTATCTCTTCCCTATAGAAGGAAGACATGGAGGCAGTCCCTGGCTACCTCTCCCTGCACCAGTCTGCAGAGAACCTAACCCTGAAGTGGACTCCCAACCAACTCATGAACGGGACTCTCGGGGACTCTGAGCTAGAAAAGAGGTGGGGCTTACACTTGCTCTACAGAAGCAGGAAAGGGTGTCAAAGCTTGGTTCAGGGAGAAACAAAGAGACTCCAAGGGACAAGCCTTGCTCCTATCCCAATGCCAAGAATTAGAGGGAGAGGCTGGCTGCCTGTAGTGACTCCCAAGCTCTCTGAGACGGAGCCAGCCTGGCCACGGAGGGGTCTGCACAAGCCAGGTGCTGGCTAGTAAGACTGCCAGGCTCTGTGCCAGGGCAACAGCGTGAGACACAGAGGACCAGGGCTGACTGTGCCACTGCTTGGCTCTGGCTGCCCATCTCCAGCACAGTTTCCGGGGGATAGGATCAGTTGACAGAGGCATAGGACATAGTGACTCCATGTGGTTCCTTTGCAGTGTGTACTGGGACTATGCCTTGGTGGTGCCCTTCAGTCAGATCGTCTGCATCCACTGCCACCAGCAAAGTGAGTCTGCAGTCTGAGGCACAGAGGCGGGAGGGCAGGCACTGCCTCACTGTGGTCCACTGCGCATGGGCCTGTCAGACCTCTGTGTCCCCCTCATGTCCTTATTTCTCAGTGCTGGGAATCAGACTCAGGACATTGTACACGCTATGCACACACTCTACCACTGAGGCCCACTCCCAGCCAGCCTTCCCGCTGTACTTACTTTTTAATCTTTAAATTATCTCAGAAAACTTTATATCCAGGTGGTGGTGGTGTGCTCCTTTAATCCCAGACTTGAGAGGCAGAGGCAGGCAGATCTCTGTGAGTTCAAGACCAGCCTGGTCTACAAAGTGAATTCCAGGACAGCCTGGATTACATAGAGAAAACCCAGTCATATATATATATATATATATATATATATATATATATATATATATATATATGCGCCATGTGGCCTGGTGCCCACAGAGGCCCAAGAGGGCACAACTAGAGTTCCGGTTGTGAGTTGCCACATGGGTATTGGGAATTGAACCTGGGTGCTCTTGAGAGTGGTTAAGTCAGTGCTCCTGGCTGCTGAACCAAACTCTCCAGCTTTGTTTTTATTTTTGCATTTACTTAGAGCATGTGTATAAGTGCACATGTTCACACCCGCACCACAGCACACGTGGGGACCTGAGGGCAGTTTACAGGAGTCGGTTCTCTCCTCCCAGCACATGGGTTCCAGGGATGGCAATGAAACTCAGATTGCCAGGCCCTATAGCAGGCACCTTTACCTACCGAGCCACCTTGCCAGCCCTCTGCCGTTCCTATTAAAGAAGCACCCGAAGCACGTTCCAGCCTGCCTACCCTCCTTACTAGCCTGGGAAATCAACAGTTGGGCCGGGGTGGCAGGGCAGGAGGTCTCAAGAAGGGACCCAGCCTCACTCATGGGCACTCATCCTACCAGAGAGCGGCGGCACGCTTGTGCTGGTGAGCCAGGATGGCATCCAGAGACCGCCACTGCACTTCCCACAGGGAGGGCACCTGCTGTCCTTTCTGTCATGTCTGGAGAATGGGCTGCTGCCTCGTGGACAGCTTGAGCCCCCGCTGTGGACCCAGCAGGGAAAGGTACCTTGGCAGGGGAGGCTCTGGGTGCAGGGCGGGGTGAAGGAAGGTCTCTCTCCCTTTTCCACACAGAGTGCTCAGCTTTGGGCAGGACCTTGGGTGGGAGCATGCACTGGACAAGCTGACCATCTCTCCCTCTGCAGGGCAAGGTTTTCCCCAAGCTACGGAAACGTAGCAGCAGACGTTCCGTTGACGTGGAGGAGCTGGGTGTCGGGCGGGCCACAGACTACGTGTTCCGAATCATCTACCCTGGACATCGGCACGAGCACAGTGAGTGTGGGAGCGCTGTGTGTCCTCGCGTCCCTCTGAGGGACACTCGGGGTGTGTGGGAGCACTGTGTCACCTGGGGGCAGGCAGGCCCCTAGCCAGGCCAGCTTCACACAAGAGGATCATCACTTACAGCCTCCCACTGAATCTTTCACTCCCAGGTCATCCTTGTCTTCGGCCTATGTGCCTTGCCCTCGGCCACTCGAGGCTGTCAGCTCAGCAGGCCCAGGCATCACCATACAAGTTTTTAGTCATATTTCAGGCAATGATGCAGAAAAAAAATGGAGACTAGAAATATTACCAGAAGGTGGAAAACCTCCATCCCTCTTCAGGCTGAAGAAAAAGATGCAAACTTTCCATCCCTCTTTAGTCCCACCATGCAACCTCGACAATTAGCCTGGCACAGGCGCTGCGCTTCCTGGACACTGCAGGTTCACGTCTACAGCCCAAGCCATCTTCAGAGCTGCTCCTGACACAGAAGCAGGGGCTGCATCTGAGCAGAGGGAAACCCAGAGCTTGGCTGTTGAGGGCAAGGACCTGAGGCAGCGGGGCCTCTAGGGGTCTGTCAAGAAGTGTCTGCCAGCATCATGCTCTTTCTGCTCAGTGATGCTGCAACCCGTGGGCTTTTCTACACCACACTTCATTTCTTGAAGATGGGGTCAAGGAATCTGCCAGGCCACACTGATTACTGCTAACCAGACCCCCTGCTCCTCCCTGCATTTCCTAATTTGTGCCCAAAAGTTGTGCATAGTGTTTCTTGGTCGACGGACAGGTGACCCAGACTTCACACAGATAGCTACAGCACAAATGATCTGGACAGGCTTGGAGGACTGTGCTCGGGAGGCTGTTCCTCCCAGAGGAAGCAGTCTCCACAGCTGTAGAGTGGCGGTCCCCTCAGGCTGAGCTTGGTTTCCATTTGCAGTGGGTTTCCCTCCTTTGTTCTGTTCACATCACTGTAAGGACCTCTTCCCTCCCGAGAGGGTGAGCCAGGCGTCAGGAGCTGAAATTCAGCTGAGCGACTTCCTCTTTCCGGGTGGCTCTAATAGGACCCGGGAAGAAGATGGCTGAATTTATTTAAGATGGCTCTTAACATGAGGGTTTGAGGTCCTCTCCAGGTTAAGGGCAGCCCAACTATAACCGCAGCTAAAGAAAGGAGCCATCTAGCCAGAGTCCCACCTCACCCTAGTTAGCTTTGGTGGTCTCCTAGACACACATACACCCCTCTCTTCTGTTCTTCCTAGAGAGGCTCACACACCTTCCCTCCTCTCCTAATGACCACAGAAGATTCTTACCGGCCCCCTCCCCTCTGCCTTGCAGGTTCAAGGTGACCCCAGTCTCCATGCCATTCACCTCAAGGAGGGCAGTTGGTCTCTCCTCACAGGGACTAGGGTCCTCATGCCTCTGCCTCTCTCGCTATTCTTTTTGAGCAGTCACTATTAACTACCACCACCTAGCGGCCAGCCGTGCGGCCTCGGTGGACGATGATGAGGAAGAGGAGGATAAGCTACACGCGATGCTCTCAATGATCTGCTCGCGGAACCTCACAGCTCCCAATCCGATGAAAGGTTTTTATCCCTCCCCATCCCCAATTCACCTCACCCTGCACCCTGACCCCCCCTGGGCCCACCTGCCACCCACTGCAGGGGCTCAAACAGCAGTGTTGGCATTAGGGCTTTTGCGCACAGGGCTGGTTCCTCCTGTCAGAGGCGGATCAGTGAGGACACAGGAAGTCAGACCGGCACTGGCAGAAGAGAGACATGCAGAGCAGATGGTTCTGGCTGAGGAGGGGGGCTTTCTGCTGAGAGAAAGAGAGCCTTTGGAGGAGGGCTGGCCATCTGAGGGCCTGTCAGCCGTGTTGACAAACACCAGGCAGTGATGGATCTCTTTCCTTCTCTTCTGCTGACAGGAAAGACAGCTATAGCCCTGTGCCTCTGTGTCTGACTTAACAAGACAGGGGGCAGAGGTGGGGCTGGTCAGGTCAGATGAGGGGTGAGGGTCACCATGAGAAGAGACCCCAAGGAGATTGGTGTTCCCATGTATGGGGGCTTGTGGTATATGGTACCTTAGTGTGAAGCTAGAAGTACTTACACAGGGTGCCCAGGGGCCGGTACATGTAGGGTTTGAGCAAGTGTCGGGCCTCTCCAGGCTCACTTTTCTCACTGACACTAAGTGCTATGCCAGTGATGTTACTCAGGTGTCCATGCTCCAGGACCCCAGCTTCCATGGTGGCAGGGATCTTCTTCCCTGGGGCCAACATAGCCCAGTAACTGTAGCCCACAACATTCCCCTGCCCACCAAATCCCTTTAACACAGAGCTGTCTTGGTTGGAAGGTGTGGGTGCTGTTTTTTTATCTATTTTATTTGGGTTCTTATACCTCTACCTCCCTTCCAGCCCCCCAACACTAAGTAGGAAAGAAAGAAGCTTAGAAGGGAAAGGGGATGTAGACCTCTTTAGACCTAGTTCTTTGGGGTAATTCCAGTCTTCGTAGTCAGCATATCTAGCCGTCCAGCAGTCCAGCGAACGCAGCAGCAGGATGAACCAGCAACAGCCTGCTTCCTCCTTGGACTGCTTTTTCTCGAGTGCTCTGACATTTCTACCCTTTCAGAGTCTTCAGAACTGAACTGTCCGCAGCTGCAAAGATCATGCCCCTCTCTGAGCACGCATGAAGCAATCGTAGCTAACATTGTGGACGAATGGTAGCTCATAACCACCTTTTATTTTTATTTTTAATTTTTTTTTTTTTCAGAGCTGAGGACCAAACCCAGGGCCTTGTGCTTTCTAGCCAAGTGGTCTACCACTGAGCTAAATCCAACCCCTCACAACCACCTATAAGGAGATCTGGTGCCCTCTTTTGGTCTGCTGGCACACATGCAGGCAGAATACTGTATAAATAATAAGAAAAATAAATCTTTAAAAAAAACCACACACACAGCTGTGGTCAAACTAAAAGCAGCCCCATTTCCCATACTTGGGATTAAAACAAAAACATATTTACATGACATAACTGAGTTTTTAAAGAAACCAAAACTTCCACTACAAGAAAGAGCCCCACTCCTTGGAGAAACATCAACCAGGGTCCCTGTGAGGGCTGGGGAGAGGCTCCAGGAAAGGCTGGACAGAGACACTATGGCTAGCCAAGCTCTTAGATGTTAGGGAATCCCCTCCCCCCGCCACTTCTACACCAGAGTTAACTGGTTCTCTTCCTTACAGAGAGAGCCCTTCCAGAGAAGCTTGCCACCCACTTCCCTCCTTACCCTTCCACAGAGTTCTGCTGAGAGGCACCGCTCCCTAGCTCCCTAGCCTTGTCACTCAGCCAGTAATAACTACCCTCCTACCCCTGCCAGCCAGGCCCCTGGCTCAGATCACACCCACTGCTCCTCGGGCCACCCTGTCAGCTGCTCTTCCTGCTGCCACAGTTCTGCCTTCCTTCCCAGCCCTGTAGACGGTGGCACGCCCTACTTTTCAGGTTACTGGCACACACTTGCCATCTGGCTGTCGACACCGTGGATTGGACAACACTGCCTGTTTACAGGGTGACTGGCCCTGAGTAGCGTGGGAAGGTTGAAGGCATTGCCCCTCAAACTGGCATCCTGGCAACAGAAAGGCCACTGACTGCTGGGTGGGGTTGGTTACACATGCCTGTAATCCCAGCACTTTGGGGTTGAAGGAGAGGAGGGTCAAGAGGTCAAGGTCAGCTTGAGCTACCTAGAGTTTGAAGGTTGCTCAGGCAACTCAGGATTTCAAAAGAAAAAAGAAAAGGCCGCTATAACTAGTGTTAGGACCGAGGCTTCCGATCAGACAAATTTCTAGACACGTGGAGTCTAGAGGCCTTGGAAGTAGTTCAGATATACTTTGGTAGAGTTTATGGGCTAGAGCAACCCACTGTGTAGTTCCTGTGCCCCCAGGACTTGGGGGAGGGGTACAGGGAAGTGGAAAGTAGGGATGGGGTGGGAGCTCCCCCTGCACTGCAGTCCATAATGACAACACTGTTGGGTTCTGCAGCCATTGCTTTTTCAGGCCTGCAACATGCTTGACTTGTGCATGTGACTCAAGTGGCGGGGTGTCCAGGTCTCTTCCCTCCCCAGTTTCCTGCTGCCTCCCCACAGAGCAGAGATGCTGTTCACTCTAATTCTGCTCCAGGCGCCTTTCCCTCGGAGTCCTGGGGGCTGTGGGGTTCACCCACCTTGACGGTTTGCCTTATGCTTTCCTCATGCTCAGAGGAGAGAGTCAGAGTCAGAGCTGGCCCAGCAGACCCTGTCCAGCCTGCTGCCTCACCAGTCGCTCACCCAGTCACTTCAGAGTGTAGAGTGTGCAATGCTGGCTGGTTCAGCTCCTTCCTGGAGAATTAAGGTGAAAAGCATTGACCCAGGAGATATGCCTTGGTTGTGCCCAGTTTTCTGGGCACGAGCTTGTTTCCCTCTGTGCCCACCCTCCACCTTCTGCTGCCTGCTGCCTGCCTGGCTGGGCTACTCCCTCCACCCATCCACCCCTACCCCTGCTCCCGCCACCCCTGGCCTCCTGCCTGCTTCAGGGCGCTGAGTGAGGCCCCTACCCCCACCACCTGCACTCACCCTCCCCCACCCTTCCCAAAGTCTTCAGCATGGCTTGCCGCCCCTCACTCCCAGAGCCGCAGCCCCTACCAAACACGTTCCCTTAATTTACCTCCTGGTGGAGCTGAAGGGCCAGAGACTGACACAATGCTACATGGGTCTGCGAGGGCAAGGCAGGGCAGCCCGTGAGGGGACTGCAGGGAAATCAGCTCAGCGCTCTCCACCAGGGCACACCCAGAGCTGGAGGCTGGCTATCCAAAAACACCAGACCAAGGGCTCCAGACTGTGGGAGTCAGGGTGTCTTGTAGAGTTACCGAGGAAACCATTGCTGAGAAGACCTCAGCACACACAGCTCTTGTTCTTCACTCTTTCTAGCCCTCCTTCCCTCACCATGATACCAGTCTTCCACCTCACACGGTCACTGTGTTTCATCTCTGTGGCTCCTGGCCAACATCCAGCCTGAAACGCGTTCCAACTTAGATGAGCAGGGACGGCTGAGACAGCCTCATCTACAGAAGAACAGACATCTCCAAGGGTCTGTCTTCTGACACTGCACGCTGGCATGGCCAGCTATGACTGCTGTGTTGGACCCATGTTCCCAGACACCACTTCTACCCCGCCACCCTGGGAAGCTCCCCTCCACTCCCGTTCACATAAGAGCAACCATGCTGGGTGCCCTCAGAGTAGGCCTCAGGGTGTCTGGTTTGGGCAGAAAGCACTGTCCCTACTCAGCCACTGGGCACGAGAGTTTGGAAGGCCAAGGCTAGTGAGACATAGCTTGAGCCTTCCTCAGGGATCATGGTCATTGCTACTACGGGGCTTCCACACACATTCCTGAGCATCTCAGAAGCAGGCTGAGCTCTTACAGCCCAGGCTAACCCTCGGTGTTTCAGGGAGCGGGGGCCTCTGCTCTTCAAACCTTTCCTCTAGGAAAGCATGTGTTCTCTGGCATTGGTGGAGGTGGGTAGGCAAATCACCCACAACTCAGTTTGAGTATTCCACCACATGGAAAAAGCCTTCCGTCTTCTCCAGGCTCAGGGCAAGCTGGACAGTCAGGTCCCTTCCCACTCTCTCCGTCTCCGGGTTCTCAGCCAGGCAGGCACCGCCTTATGACTTTCCACCAATGGGTGATTTCATCTGCAGCTCTGGGCAGAGGTGGGCGTGCTGCAGGGCACTTGGGGGAGGAAGCCTAGCAGGCACTGACCGCGGCCCCTTCCTGCCCTCAGATGCTGGCGACATGATTGAGATGCAGGGGTTCGGACCCAGCCTGGCAGCCTGGCACCGAGAGCCCCTGTGTAGCCAGGGCTCCTCCTGCCTCTCCTGTTCCTCCAGGAGCTCCCCATACGCAACCCCCAGTCACTGCAGCTGCACTCCCGACAGGTAAGTGAGGGCAGGAGCTAGCCCCTGCCGGTGCATCTACCCATCCATGTACCCTCATGTCCTTACAGACTACGCCACTGGCCTCCAACTCACTGAGATCTGCCTGCCTCTGCCTCCCGAGTGCCGGGGTTAAAGGCCTGGCACTTCTGTGTTTCTAAACCTCAGTTTTTTTTCCCCTGCAAAATGGGGTCATACCACCTCCTTCCTCGAGCAGGTGAGGACCATCTGAAAGCCCAGGGTTGTGACTCCACACAGTAGATAACAGTACTCTACTCACTTTCCCTTTATAGACATAGTCCCTCCGGCAGGCTGTGTGTCGGGGAGCATTCAGTGTTACCTCTGTATGAAGGCAACATGGAGGCAGTTTGATCCCACTGACTTCACCTGTCACATATTTTTTAACCTACCATTTCTGGTGATCCTGAGGCTTCTCCACCATACATAAGGAAATCAAGATTCACCAGAGCCAAGTTTGTTCAGTCAGGCCCCCACAGCCACGTCCAGGGTGGCAGGGCTGGAGTCGCCGCTGTACTGCCCAGCTCTGTAGCCTGCCCTCCTTGTGGCCCCTAGCATCTTGTCTGCCTCTGCACCCTGTATCATCAATGTCAGCCCTTCCTGCCAGGGGCTATAATCCCCTCCCTCTGAGCCAGGATGTTTCCACAGGTTGCCCCTCAGGCTGCTGTGTGAGAGCATGAAGAGGCAGATTGTGTCCCGGGCCTTCTATGGCTGTGAGTGCGTGGTGAGGTGGGGCGCCGGGGCTGGGGGTGGGGAAGCACCGCACCACACTTCCTTCTTGCCCACACTATAGGGCTGGCCTACTGTCGCCACCTCTCCACAGTGAGGACCCACCTGTCAGCACTGGTGCATCACAACATCATCCCACCGGACAGGCCCCCGGGGGCCTCGGGGGGCCTTACCAAGGATGTGTGGAGCAAGTACCAGAAGGACAAAAAGGTGCCCATTGGGCTTCCAAGGACAGAGGCTGTGGGATGGGGCCTTGGGAGGCCATAGTTATGCACAGCTGCCTGCTGTAACCTGAATGGTCATCTGGGGTAGGACATGGTAGGGAGTTGGGCAGACAGGCCAGACTGATGCCGTGGATGGCTGGATTATCAGTGCACAGCTGACTCTCATGTACATGGGAGGGGACTTGAATAGTGATCTGAGACTGACAGATCCTCTCCTGTTAGAGCTGTTTCCTGCCCTGTGAGGAAGGAGGTGGGACAAGGTCTCTCTTACAGCTATACCCAGGGAACTCTGGCTGCCCTCAAGCAGGGTTTGCCGAGGCTCAGTAAAGCCACTGAAGCCCAGGGCCAGCTCTCCCTGGGAGGTGCTTGGCCACAGTAACTGGGCGGTGCATAGACTTTCCCCTCTGGATCACTCAGAACTACAAGGAGCTGGAGCTGCTGCGGCAGGTGTACTACGGAGGAGTGGAGCACGAGATTCGCAAGGAGGTCTGGCCCTTCCTGCTCGGTCACTACAAGTTTGGCATGAGCAAGAAGGAGATGGAGCAGGTAAGGGAGCTTGCTCTTACAGAGCCAAGGAGAGAGCAGGCAGGCAAGTGGCCCCAGGGAGGGAGCATGGAAGCTGAAGTCCCTCCTGGCTAGAAACAGCAGAGGAAAATGGTAGTGGAGCAGCCCCGTGCTCCTCACCTGAGGCCCTGCTCAGTGCCTGGCCGCCTGAGGAGGCAGCCCTGGGCACCTCCCCTCATGGCCATGGTGTGGTCTGAGTACAGGTGGACGCAGCAGTGGCAGCGAGGTACCAGCAGGTGCTGGCAGAGTGGAAGGCCTGCGAGGTGGTGGTGAGGCAGCGGGAGCGGGAGGCTCATCCGGCCACGCTCACCAAGTTCTCCTCAGGCAGCAGCATCGACAGCCACGTGCAGCGCCTCGTGCACCGCGACTCCACCATCAGCAATGATGTGAGCCAGGGAAGGGCTGGGGGAGGGCGGGGCCCCACCAGCCTTGTGGGCACATGGGCGCTCAGCCGGGGCCAGCCTCAAGTACTGGCAGTTGGGCCCTGGGCAGACACTTCATGGTCAGTGTCTGAGAATTTCAGCTGAGGAATGGGCAGCTGTCTTCCAGTTAGCATCAGAATGAGTCCTCAGGCATGACTTGTGATGTGTTCAGTAGGGAAAACGGGTCTTTCAGAATTCAGGGAGGCTTCTCCCTTCTTGTAGAAAGAATGTGAGGTAGCCACGAGTTCCCACGGGTCCCAGTGAGATCAGGATGTCTGAGCAAGTGTGTCCCATGCCTGGCTTCAGTTTCTAAACCTCTCCATTCCCTTGCCTCTGATTGATTATGGAAAGTTGTTGGCCAAAGAACAGAGGAGAGGTGAGAGAGCCATTGCTCTCCCCTGGCAGGATCCTTTCTCGGTAGTTTTCTGTCACCTTGTATGCAGGGGTGGGAAGGGACTGTAGATGGCCCGGCCTGCTGGTCCTGCTGCTCCCCACATCTAAGTTTTTTCTCCTCTCCCCAGCCCTGATAAGGGTTTCTCTGTGCAGCCTTGGCTGTCCTGGGCTCTCTTTATAGACTGCCTGCCTCCGCCTCCCGAGTGCTGGGATTAAAGGCGTGCGCCACCGTGCCCGCCCGGCTGCCCCTTCTATCTTGAACTGGCCTTACCTGTCATCCTGTTTCAACCTCCCCAGTGAAAGTGCTGGCCTTTCAGGCAAATCTCTGTATTTACCTGGCATAAATTGTTTTTATTTGTATTTATGTAATATTTTTTAGGCAGGGTCTCACTCTGTAGTTCTGAAACTCAATATGTAGACTAGAGTAGCCTTGAACACACAGAGATCCACCTGCCTCTGCTTCTCAAGTGTTGGTATTAAACTGTGTACAACCATGCCCAGCCTATAAGTGGTTTTGTTTTCAAGATTTATTTATTTTATGTGTGTGTGTGTTTTGCCTTACATGTATTGTCTGTGCACCATATGTGTGCCTGGTACCTGTGGAGGTCGGAAGAGGGGATCAGATCCCCTAGATTGGAGTTATGGATGATCAGGGACCACCATGTGAATGCTGGGAATCTGAAGCCCATTAGTTTGTATGCTAAACTCACATTAAAATTAAAAAGCCAGGCTTGATGTCTCATATCTGAAACCCCAGGATTCTAGAAGTAGGATGATCAGGAATTCAAGGCCAGCCTTAGCTACAGCAGAGTTAGAACCGTTCTGGGCTATGTAAGACTGTTTCAAAAAGAAGAAAGGGCCTCTTTAGATAATTTGTTCTTGATACTTTACTGATCACGAGTGTTAGCAGAAAATACATAGTAGAGCAACACTTAAAAGAATATAACTCCAGCCAGAGAGCTGGCTCAGCTGAGCAGTTAAGAGCACTGGCTGCTCTTCTGCAGGTCCTGTGTTCAATTCCCAACACGCACATGACCGCTCATACCCAGTGTGTAATTCTAGTTCCATAAGATGCCCTCTGCAGACCTCCATGGGCACCACATGTATGTGAGGCACAGACATCCATGCGGGCAAAAGACTCACAGATATAAAATAAAAATAAACATATTTTTAAGTGTCTAACTAAAAGATACATTCTCCTCCCTGTGCTGCTCCTGATCCCTTGCTCTTGAGCACACTTGTGTTCTGGCATTTACAAACACCTGAGTGTGGGACGGTGAGAGGGCTCAGCAGGAAAAGGTGCTTGCTGTGTAAGTCTGATGACCAGAGTTTGCTCCCAGAACCCCCTCACAGGCGAGAGGAGAGACTGACTCTGCAAAAACTGTCCTCTGGGCATATGTGCAGCATGACACACACATCACCTACCTACCCCCCCGCCCCACACACCCCCGTAGATGCAGAGTCATAGTAAGCACATAAGAACAAGTCTGAGCCTGTTGTGTACTCCTGTAATGCCAGTACCTGGAAGCTGGGCAGCAGCAGGCCAGCCTGGGCTACAGACTTCCACAAATGCGGCTTTACTCAATGTTTCCGAGTTCTTGCCCAGAGTGAAAACCTGTAGCATCCCTTTGACTACACTGTCCAATTAGAAAAAGATCAGGGAAAGGCAGTGTGTGGGTGCGTCGTTTTCCGCAGGACTTGTTCAGAATGGTGGGCTTCCGGCAGTCAGTAGATTGTTTCCTTCTACTTCTGCACAAGTGTCTGGAGACTAACATTGTTTCCTTTTACTGCTACACTTTGAAGACGAATGTGACTGACTTGGTATTGCTACAGAAGTTTCCTGTCTTATCTGCTCAACATTCAACGCCTAAAATAAGAACTTGCTATTCCTAAAAGGCAGTTCATTCTCCCCACCACACCTCAGCAGTCACGTTCCGGACTCCCGGGCAGCTCTCCAGGGCTCCTTTATGACTTCAGGACTTTGTAGAATGGCTGGCTACCAAGAGTTGGAGCTTAGGGGCTGGAGATGGCTCAGCTATTATGGTCACATACTGCTTTTTGCAGAGGTCAGTTTCTAGTGGCCCTGGCCTTGATGGGCACCTGCCCAGGTGCACATACCTACATGCAACACATAATTTAAAAAAATGAATCTTTCAAGAAGCATGGGCGGTGGTGATGGCACGCCTTTAATCCCAGCACTCAGGAGGCAGAGGCAGGCGGATCTCTGAGTTGGAGGCCAGCCTGGTCTATAGAGAGAATTCCAGGACAGCCAGGGTTACACAGAGAATACTTGTCTTGAAAAAACAAAAAACAAAAACAAACCAAACAAGTGCCTCTGCTCCCCCCCCCCATAGCAGCCCCCAGAAGCTGTGGAGTGCATTGAACAAGCATGCCTGTCTTTTTTGCCCAAAGCCTGTTCTCTTGGTTGGCTGGGTCAGAAGCCAGTTTGGTGCCCAGGGGCTGTGTTGGGACTTGAGGGTGGGAGGAAGAAATGTGGAAAAATCCCCCTTCCCAGCTCCATGCTGATCCATGCTGACCCTGTTGTGCTGGATGGGCCACCGTCTGTTTACCCCACCAGGTGTTTATCTCTGTGGACGACCTAGAGCCCCCGGGGCCTCAGGACCCTGAAGATCCCGAACCAAAGCAGGAACAGGAACCAGGAACCGGGATTCCCGGCGCTGCCGCCGCAGAGCAGCAGTCAGTGGAATTTGACTCTCCGGACTCTGGGCTGCCTTCCTCCCGCAACTACTCTGTGGCCTCAGGCATACAGTCCAGCCTTGATGAGGCCCAGAGTGTGGGCTTTGAGGAGGACGGTGGTGGAGAAGAAGGCTCCGAAGGGCCAGCCGCTGCGGCCCACACTTTCTCTGAACCCCACCATCCAGGCGAGGAGCAGCCTGCACCTGCCAGTGAGCTTGAAGCAGGGGAGGAGCTGGCCGCTGTGTGCGCCGCAGCCTATACTGTAGGTGGACGCTCCCTGACACTGCTGTCAGAGCCCTGACCCCCTAAAAACCGGGGACTGGCCGCAGGGGGGAGCGGGTAGGGTGGCAATCCTGAGAGAGCTCTCTGAGCGTCGCCGTCGCCGTCACCAAGAGGCCACTGTTCTTGGAGCTCTCTTTGTTGGCTGGGCTTTCTTTGTTTGGGTACCCTGCCCCAACCTGAGAGTGGCGGGCCAGCCCTACCTCTGAGGGACGCCCACTCTTCCAGATAGAATTACTGGACACCGTGGCCTTAAATCTGCACCGCATAGACAAGGACGTGCAGAGGTGTGACCGCAACTACTGGTACTTCACGACCCCTAACCTGGAGCGGCTCCGAGACATCATGTGCAGGTACTGCTGGCGGCGGGCTATGGCGGCCCAGCCTGGGCACTGCCTTCCCCTGCTGCCCTGTGTCAGGTCTTCCGCATCCCTGCAGACCCCCTGCATCCCGCAGCCTTCCGGATGCGTCCCTGCCTTCACCGCCCTTTACACCACACTGCGGTGGCCTTCCGTCTCCCTCGCTGTCCTCTAATGAAGTGCCTTGGTGACAAAGGTCATCGCCTCCTAGGGTAGAGCTTGTAGGAGAGGTTTCAGGGTTGTGGAAAGAAAGGCTGATGTGGACAACAGAATGTTGTAGGATCCATGTCTATGACAGTCCCCAAAGAAAGAGAATGACATAGCCACAATGGCCATCTCTGGCATTTCAGCTACGTGTGGGAGCACCTGGATGTGGGCTATGTGCAGGGCATGTGTGACCTCCTAGCACCTCTCCTGGTCATCCTTGACAACGGTAAGGGACGGGGCATGGGGCTTCCCAAAGTGGAACTTGGTTCCAGGTGACAAAATGGGAGAAAAGGATGATGAGTTTAGAAGGTGTGGGCTGTTCCCCAGTCTTCCCCGGGTGTCGCGGGGACCTCATTCCCTTCTCACAGACCAGCTGGCCTACAGCTGCTTCAGCCACCTCATGAAGAGGATGAGCCAAAATTTCCCCAACGGGGGTGCCATGGACACCCACTTTGCCAGCATGCGTTCCCTCATCCAGGTGAGTGCTGCAGCGGCCTCGGGGGGCCTGCTCATCAGCCACAGGGAGGAGCTAGAGACTGGGCCAGAAATGCCCTTTACACATCAAGTTTACTTCACATTTATTTACTTTAGGGGCTGGTCTTGAATTTGTAGCAATCCCCCTGCCTCTGCCTCCTCTGGGATTACTGGCGTGTGACACCAATCATAGCTGAATTTCCTTCATTTAAAAAAAAAAATACTGCCAGGCAAATGCTTGTAATCCCAGTACCTGGGATGTTGAATCAGTGAAATCAGTGGTGCTAGGCAACAGCATGAGAACCTGTCTCAAGTAAAAATAAGTAACTCAACAGGGCTGGAGAAATACCTTAGTCTAGGGCCGAGTTTGAATGCAATAGTTTTGTTTTTAAAGTCATACAGTGGCTTATGATCCCAGTGCTGGGAAGGGGACACAGGCAGACCCCTGGTGTCTCTGGCCAGAAGACCGGCTTTGAGTTCCAGGCCAGTAAAAGACCTTGTATCCAAAAAGTGTTAAAAGGAAGGTGGACGGCACTGACAGAATGGCCCCGAGGCCCCTGGTCAGCGCCACGCAGTATGCCCGTGCACCCTGGTTACCCGTGAACACACAGAGGCACGTACATGCAAACACTGAGTTAATTAGTTGGGGCTGGAGAGATGGCTTCATGGTTAAGAACACAGGCTGCTCTTCCAGAGTTTAGTTCCAGGGTTAGTCCCCAGCACCCACATGACAGCTCACAACTGTTTGTAACTCCTGTTCCAGGGAATCCAATGCCCTCTCACACACGTACATGCAGGCAAAACACCAATGCACATAAACTAAAAGCAAATAATTTTTTAAGTGAAATAATTTAAATGTTTAAAAACAAAGTCTAGAAGCTGGGTGTGGTGGCACACGCCTGTAATCCAGAACTCAGGAGGCAGAGGCAGGTGGATCAATTTGAGTTCCAGGCCAGTCTGGTCTACAAAGCAAGTCCAGGACAGCCAAGGCTACACAGAGAAACCCTGTCTCGAAAACAAAAACAAACAAAAATGGCTTCGGGTAAAGTGCTGTCTACACATGAGACCTGCGTATGGGGAAGGGATCCTAGAATTCCTGAGCCCTACAACTCTGCCCAGGCCAGGACTTGGGGCCCCATGCCCCACTAGGGGGCAGCCAGAATGGCTGGATCAGCTCATACCATTGAAGAACTGGGTTTCACCCCCAGCATGGCACAGATAAATACTGTTATCGGTGTTACAAACTGAGCAGCAATGTGTACACATGCTTGAGCCTGTTTTGGTGAGAAGTGGGGTTGATGTTTAAATCAAATGCCCAGAAACTGGAGTAACTGGAAAAAGAATGCAGCTGAGGGAGAGAGGAAAGGAGGGAACAAGAACAGCAGGACACAGCTGCCAGTGGGGCAGACATGGCAGTACAGTGGCATGGCTGAAGGCAACCCAGGGCTGTGGGGGAAGGTGGCGGAGAAGCAGCTCAGGTCTGTTTCTCCCTCTCCCCCTTGAGATCTTGGACTCAGAGCTATTTGAGCTGATGCATCAAAATGGAGACTACACCCACTTCTACTTCTGTTACCGCTGGTTCCTGCTGGATTTTAAAAGAGGTAAGAAGTGGGTAGGCCTGGGCATCATGGCACATGCCTACAATCCCAGCACTCCCGAGCACAGCAGGAGGGTCACCAGGAATTCAAGGCCAGCCTCATAAGTAGGATGGTGGGACTGTGGTGGCCAGGGCAGGCTGAGAGCTCTCTTCCTCTAAATCAGTGGTGTTCCAGCTTTACTGCGTACTGTGTGTCTGCCCTGCCCTGCCTGTCTTACTAAGGTTGTCTGGGCCTATGCTCTCATATGCTTGTGAGGCATCTCCATGGCACAGGCTGGGTTCACTTTGTCACAGGGACCTTGTGGAAACTACAGCTTCCCTGAACACTAATATTGGGGAGTCCATGGCGTCTGCAAGAATCACCAAGAGAGGGGGTAGGCGCTTGCTCTGGGGTATAGCCCCTATTCTGGAGCCAGGCTGAGCCATGGGTGCGGTGGGGAGAACCCAGCGGCTGGCGCTCACTCCACGAGGCACCTCCAAGCCCCGTGCCTCGACTGTTCAGTGCCAGCTCCCTCCTGTCCCCAGAGCTGCTGTATGAGGACGTGTTTGCAGTGTGGGAGGTGATCTGGGCGGCCAGGCACATCTCCTCGGAGCACTTTGTCCTGTTCCTCGCCCTGGCCCTGGTGGAGGCCTACAGGGAGGTCATCCGAGACAACAGCATGGACTTCACTGACATCATCAAGTTCTTCAATGGTATGAGCTGACCCAGCCATCTGGCTGCCCCACTGGGGCATGGGCCAAGTCCTGGCCCAGGCAGGGTGGGAGGCCTCAGGAATCCTAGGGTCCCTTCCCCACAGGCAGGCGGCAGGAGCAGGGCAGGCAGAAACTAAGCAAGGGTTTCCCTCCCCCCAGCCTCCCCGTAATTGTCCCTGTTTCTCCCAGAGCGGGCTGAGCGCCATGACGCCCAGGAGATCCTGCGGATTGCCCGGGACTTGGTCCACAAGGTGCAGATGCTCATGGACAACAAGTGAGGGCTGCAGCCGGGGGGAGGAGAGGCTGTCAGAGCGGAGAGCCCTGAGCTCCAGCAGGGAGAGGCAGAGGTCACCAGAGCCTAGACTGCCTCACCTCATACCCCACCCCACCTCTGCCAACCCCCCCACTCAGCTGTGTAACCTAACAGAGTGACTGTGAGCCTGAGATGTGAGTGTCAATGTGGCGCTGCCAGGCAAGTCGGGGTCAGGATGCCTGTGGATCACATCTGGGTGGGAGGGGTCGGCTTCGGGGAGAGTGGCCGCCTGGGGGACGCCTCTGTTCTCCAGTCAAACAACTTAGAATAGCCCCACTGCCATCTGCAGCCTCGGCCTGGACTGTTTCCCACTGGCTCTTCCCAGGCAGCCTGGGCCTGAAAGGGTAGTGGGGTCAGCAGTGGGCTGAGCCTCATCGAGCAAGAGTTGCATGGGCTGAGGGGCTCTGTGCCGAATCTCTCCCGAGGCCTTTGTGGTCTCCACAAGCTGCCTATTCAGGCATTTGTCCTAGGGCGGGAGACCTGGGCTTCTGTCCGGGCTCTCTTGAGACTGGGGCCATGAGCCGTGGGCCCTGGGTAAGAACAGCCCATCTCAGCAGCACTGCCACGGCCTCTGGCCACCAGGGCGACCCCATGAGCTCCCCACCCCCATTTGCACACTGTCCCTGTCCTCACCCTGCCCTTGTTAGTGCCCTGCACACGAGTAGCACACTCACCGATGTGGATGGGGGACGGTGGGTGTGCTCGCTCCCCGGAGGAGCCCCAGGGAGAATGGGTAAGAAAGTCCTGTCGCAGCCTCTTTCCCGGGACAGGCCTGGGGCTGAGGGAGTGGAGTTCCCGGCAGTCCCTCTTCATCCCTAGTGACAGATAAGGCTAGCTCCACTTTCCACATGCCTCTTGGGGTGCTGAGAGGCCGGCGAACCCAGAAAGGCCCTTGGAGGAGTGTTCAGGGGTGTCACTAAAGGCCCAGCCCTGGACCCAAGGCCTAGGCATGCTGCCTGTTTGTTCTGTTATCCCCAAATTCCTTTCCCACCCTCGCCCCAATCTGGCACATGCAGGCCAGGTCTGGGGCCCAGAGCCCATACCTTGCCCGGCTCCTGCCCAGAAGTCACCAGGGTCCACAGACCCTGCATTTGAAAGCCACACGGCCCTCCCTGCCCTCCCTTACCCCTGGGTACTGCACGGCCTTGGGGCCAGCCCACCCCATTGCCCACCCTGTTCATGATCCCTCGGCCTCCACCAAGCACGAGTGGCCAATGTGTGCCTGCCTTAGTGACTCTGATTTTGTGAGGAGCAGAGTGTATGGGGTTTGGGGTTCTGTTTTTGGTTTTTTGTTCACTTGTTTGATTGATTGGTTGGTTGGTTTTGTTTTGCTCAGAAACTATACTCTTCAATGTAACAGACCAATAAAATGCATTTGGCAATTCCTGAGGCTCTGGTGGCTGCTTATAGGACTGGCTGAACACAGAACGGTCATGTGTTAGATAGTTCTCTACATTCCATGATCCAACAGTAAAGGATGACAGCTTAAAAATAAAAAGCAAGAATGGTGTAAGAGAACCGAAGTTCTCTGGAAGTGAGTGGGCCCCCATGGGGGCTGACACTAGTCTCCAGCTCTCATAGCACTGGAAGGCCTGCTGAGCACTGGTTGGGTCAGACTGGGGAGGTAGCTGGAGGATGCTGCTCCTATAAAGGCATGGAAAGGGCCTGGTGATAAATCCCATTTGCCCCTCCCTGCCCAGAGTACTTCTGGTCGCATCTTTATAGAGTTACGTATAACTCCTACTTTCTGAGCCCTGAGGGTCCACAGACAGTGTCTTATAAGCTGCGTGTTGTAGTCCATAGGCCTAGCAGTCTGGCCCCAGCTGTTAAGACAGAATACAGACTGATGGCCAGAGCAGGCCAGGGAAAACTGGGACAACATAAAGCTTGTTCGAGGGGACTTGTAAGGCCCCTAAGGGAAACACTCCTCCCTGCCTAGCAGGTTCCATAGCCAGAGTGATTCTTTAAATCCTACTGTGACCACCTTCAGCACAGGTCTGGGCAAAGCAGCCCGGGTAACCCAGTCCCTCCACACCCACCCTCTCTGCTCCGCCTGGACTGCTAGCTGGGCATGTAGACACTACAGGGGACCCCACATCCAAGAAGGGCTCTCTGGAGTCTGGGCTGGCCTTCTGGCTCTGTGGACACAACTTCCATGACGAGTGCTCTCACAGAGCAGGAGCTCTGAGCACAGGGAAGGAAGGGGCTTGTTAGCCACCCTGAAGACTCGGCCCCAGCTCTCGGGTGACATTCCCACGGCAGGGCTTCAACCTGTTCCCAATGCCAGCACAGTACCACCACTGCGAGCACTCCACACATTCACCCTAGCCCTGGCGGGACGGCTCTTCCCGGTGCCACCAGCAGAGAGCGCCCGTACCTCATGAGTCGGAAGGGCTGATGAGGCTGGCAGGGGAGGTGGTAACTGAGGTGGTCTCTTAGCACTGACCCTCCAGAAGACAAGCCTCCAAGTCATGTATGGTCAGCATTTCCTCCTGAGGGTAATGACAGCCCCCCCCCCAATCCTAGGAAGGGTGCTGAGAGGGTCAGACCTCAGGGAGATGCCTACCTCACACCTGGCACAGCTCCCTGATCTCCTTCTGCCACCTGCCTCCAAGACAGCCTTCCCACAGTGAGGCTGGAGATGGAGCTTCTGTGCCCAGCTGAGGTCGTGGCTCCCTGGATCCATGGACCCCCAACCTCACCTAGCTTTATAGAATGAATTGTCAGGACCCAAGGTGGCTTTAAGAAGCCCCTCACTATCTGTCCCAGGTCACGGGGAATAGCCTCTGCTATCTATCTATCTATCTATCTATCTATCTATCTATCTATCTATCTATCTATCTATCTATCTA